AAAAAAAAAAAAAACGCCAACGCCCCGTCAATGCGTAACGAGGCGTCCTGGAGGAAAAAAAAACAACAACAACCCCGCACCACACCCGGCAACAACAGCGCGTCAAGCAAACAAACAAAAACAAACGGGGAAGGGATTGGCGCGCGCAGACACAAATGAATAAAAGTCAAACTTCACGTTTTAGCCACACATGAACAGCAGGGGCATGGAAACGAGGCGTGGACGACAGAGTCGAGCTGAGGGCGCTGAGAGACCCAGTACTTTATTGCAGCACGACAGAGCTCAAGCACCTCACACATTCCTCCCACCACCCGCAGGCCAAAAAAAGAAACAGCAAACTAAATAACCAAGAGCGACCAGAAACAACAATCACTACAACAACAGAGTGACGTAAGACAGCAAGACACACAACAGTCTACGATGAATACACCCAAGCACACGAAAAGGAAGGGAAAAACTACACATCGAGGGAGGAGGAGGGGGAAGGGGTAGACAGGAGAACTCCTCACGCCACTACACACATAGTGACCACAGTGAACGAAACAAAGGAGACTCTCCTCTTATTGCACTTCTACGCATAAGACGCATCTCTTCACTTTTCTTTTCTTTTCGTGGAGCCCTGCCAAACTCCCACCGGTCTATCTTGCGTTGCCCCTTTACAGACAACTTCCCACCAGTAATCCCAAAATATTTTTTTTTGCCTTTGTTTTCATTTTCATCTTTTCTTCACTTCTTGTTTCGCCACACCGCAGTCAAGCAAGCACACAGACAGAGGCATGCATAGAAAAAAAAAAACAAGAAAAAAAAACTACAGCGCACACCCACAGCCACCGCAATCCCCATGCCCAACTACATCAATATAAATAAATATATCTCTCCGTATACCGATCGTAAATATAACGTCAGGTAGACAACAAGCCCAGAGCACGGGAAATACACCACCAGGTGCAGGAGAAACCGTGCAGCTCCCAAAGGAAGATGAAAACACAAAACAAACGGATGCTCTCGTTGTGTGTGTGTGCACATATATACATATTAATTTCTCTATTCTGATATTCGTTCACTGCAAACCCAACTCTGCCACCACACGCGCGAAGACGCATTGCTATATATATATAT